GCGCAGCCTCAGGGGCATCCTTTTGTGAACTGGCAGCTGGCCCGGATCAGCGCCAGGGTGTGAGGGCGCTGGTGGCGTTCATTCAGTCGGCGAGTTTGCACGGCATAGCAGCAGTCGGTGCGTGTGACTGCGGCAGCCTGCACAGGTGCGCGCATCATTCGTGCTTCACCCGCCGTCGCGGCACCCCCAACCCCTCCAGGTCATGAGAAGTACTTCAGGACCACCGCCTACGGCCTCACTGGGCACCTCCCAGATTACGCATGGTGCGCTCACATGGGGGCCACTAAGGGTGCAGACTCTTTTAACCCGTCACACCGCGCACCGCATCCCGCCGCCCCTGCTGCTGCGCCCATCGCGCGCTCTCACCAGCCTGACCACACGCATGCCTGACTCGACACCCGGCCTGATGCAGCATGATGCTGGGGGCCAACATGGGTGTCGTGGGCATGGCCAAGGAGCACCTGGGCGTGGCTCTGGCCCTCAAGGTGCCGGTGTTCTTCATCGTCACCAAGACAGACATCTGCCCGGAGCACGTCCTCAAGCAGACCCTGGCGGTGAGGGGGAGGAGGGCAGGGTTGAGGCTGGGTGGTGGAGAGTGGGCGGCAGGAGCGCGGTCGCCAGCACGCTGGGTTGCACACATGGCCTGTGGGGCGTTCCCTGGTACAGGTGTGCGAGGAACGCCGCCCCTTGCCACCTGACACCTCCCAGTGACTGGGAGGCTGTCATACACACACACACACGCACGCGCGCACACACACGCACACACACGCACACTCCTACCCACGCGGACATAAACACGCAGTATATGTCACTCCCTCCCTCCCTCCCACTCTCTTCCCCCACTCAATCGACCGGCCAGTCCCTGGCCTCCATCCTGCGCAAGCCAGGGGTGCGCAAGCGGCCCTTCCTGGTGCGCTCCATAGACGACGCACTGCTGGCTGCACGCGTGATGGGGGCGGAGGCGCTGGCGCCCATCTTCCTCACGTCAGCTGTCACAGGGGCCGGCCTGGACCTGGTGGGGCCCGGGGAGGGGGGGCCGGTGCCGCTGCACTTGCATGTGTGGGCCAGGGGGGTTTCCCCCCAAATGCCAAGCAGACATGTCCGCACTGACGTCAGCAGGTGGCAGCGTCCTGCTGTTGGTGTGGTCGGCAAGGCGACACACGCAGGAGTTGTGCTTCTGCTCCTGGTGCTGCGCTGTCCTGCCGCTGAGACCAACACCACGCCCCCAACCATGGCTGCCTCGCCCCTCTCGTGGCGTCTCAGTACCACCCTCCACACCCACCCACCCAATCCCTCGGCACCCAACACACCACAGCCTTGCACAGCCCCCAGCCCTCGTCACCCAATACAGCCCTGACACCCCCCTGCCTGCGCCCCCGCTCCCTACCCCCACACTACCCAAGGTGCGCCTGTTCTACAGCCTGCTGCCCCAGCGCCAGCGCTGGGCCGAGCTGCGCGGCGAGCCGGCCATGTTCATCATCGACGAGGTGTTTGGCGTGCCTGGGGTGGGCACGGTGGTGGCGGGGACGCTCAAGAGGGGGGTGCTCACGCCGGCCAGCAGCCTGCTCCTTGGGCCAGACATTGCGGACGGCAGCTTCAAGGTGCGCAGGCGGGGTAGGGTTTTGAGGGGGGAGTGAGTGCTGGCGTGCAAAGTTGGGGAACGATTGGGCCATGCCTCATCTGGCTCCAGAGAAGCACGAGTTGATGGGTCTGTGGCGTGTTGTGAGGCTCGCAGTCATTGACGGCCACGCAACCTGCGCTGGCAACGCCCAAACGCCTTGCCTAGGCTGCATTACACCCCTGTACCCCTCCTCATGCCATGGCAAACGCGTATACACACACGCGCGCACGCGCACACACACACACACACACACACACACACACACACACGCGCGCACACACACA